GGTTGTCTGTCTCTAAGTGTGGCCCTGTGATAGACTGGTGACCTGTCCAGGGTGTCCCCTGCCTTCACCCTGAGTCAGCTGGGATAGACTCCAGCCATAATGGATGGATGGAATTTGGTTGTAGTGATTTGGTGAGCGGACAAAAAGTGACTTTTTTCAAGGATGGATAAGGAGATTTATAAAGAAAACAAATGCTGGGCAGCATGTGTAGAATATCCAAGGATTTTTAAGTCATAAAAAGCAACAGAAATATTTACAGTATCCAGGAATGTGCAAATGATTCCCTTGAAAATATTTTTTCAAATACCAATTCAAGAATTTGTAACTGTTGTACCCAACCTCATAAATCGTCTCACGACTGGTCAGATGTGTGTGTTGACCCTCAGAGGGGCCTCTGGACTGAACTCAAACAACCTTTACCTTAATGAAAGTGAAATACTGCAAACACAAAGCAGCATCAGCATTTACAGTCTCATAGTGACAAATATTATCATACATTAAGTCACATGGACATAAAAAAGAATATTTACTTTCAACAAGTTTTTATACACTACGGTCCTACTTTGACTTCATTGAAGGATCTGAGTCTTTATTTTGCAGCCACAATGCCCCCAAGTTGGAGTTTTATTTTTCTTAAGATAATATTTTACAGGATCTTTATTGCTGAGAGATGTGAAAGCAGTACTTCAATGGTAAAGATGATCAACATGGAGTTAATTTTAAGGATTTGGTAGTTCAATCTATAACAAGTATTGATTTTAATTGTGGAGTAAAAAATATCTTAAAGTACAGTACTTGAGTAAATGTACTTGTTTACATTCTAAAACAAACAGGCGCCAAGACGTTCTTCTCAGTAGAATAAAACTATTTTTAAAAAAAGTCAAAGTGAGGCCAAACTGAGAGGAAAAGTTGTGAATATAAGCCAAACAAGCTGCTACGGTGACTTTAATGGTTAAACAAAAGAAAAGGTATATCAAATCATTCCTCTTTTTTGTTCCTCTAACAACAAATGAGTGTGAACTTCTGTGCAAATATTTACCTGCCATTAATCCCTATAGCCTGAAGCCATTTCCTATATCTGATAAAACAGCTCCACAGTGAATTCAGTTTCAACTCTGTAGCTGTACGACCAAAATCAATAAATGGGTTTAAATGCATGGGAGACACTTTTGAGAATTTTGAAATATAATAAGTCTAATTCTCCCCATCATCAGGCCAGTGAGATCTGAAAAACTAGCTGAAACTGTCAATAGGAGAACACAGAACACCCTTGTAAATATGTGTCAGTAAACACTGAACCTGTTTTCAAAAATTCTCAACCGCAACTTCACAATTTTTGCAAAAATGGCGACAGGTTGCGTTTTAATAACTTTGGGCTGGTACCTGGTAAAATGAAGACAAGAAAGAAGAATCACATCTTTATTCCTGCTATTTACAAAATATCACATAAGTTCATCCCATAAATAAATAAATAAGTAAATAAATTAAAAACTGTGTATGACAGAAACAAAAGCACCAAACACCTCACGGGAACATACTGTATATTAGGCATTAATGGTTAAAGTGCACAGGTAGACACTGGATCTGCTGTTTCAGATGAAATTCGTTTTGACCGCGCGGACGTCGAGGAGACAATGTCAGGCAACTCATGCAGCAAGTCATATTCAAAGTGATGTGGCGTTAAAAGGCTTCTTCGGTGAGAGTGGCATCAGCTGGAGCGTTTCGGTCTCTGCAAGAATGTCGATGACACGTTTTTTTTTTTTCTTCCTACGAGAGCCTCTCACGGCCTCCCTGCAGCGGCCTCGCCAACGACTCCACCAACCTTGAACTCAAAATAACCGAGGATTCTTACTGCATGTCTACAGGATGTGCGACGGAACGGTATCTGCCCTCCCCCTAGTGGACGTATTTACTCGCTACATGTGCTTTAAAGTTAAAAAAAAAAAAACTGAAAGAAATATACAATCTGCATAACAAGGCATCAAGACATTCTGGTGTCCCAATGAGAGATGTGACTCGCTTCCCTTCCTGATAAATGTCCCCCAAGAAAATACATCGTTAAATAACATTATTATAATTGAATCACTTTGTAAACACTGTTTAAGAAAAAAGGTGCTACATAAAGGTTATTAATATTATTATTATTATTATTATTATTTCAAAGATTATTTGTTGCGCTTATGCTGAAAATTCATCGTGTGCTTAAGAGAGGTACTAACATTTAAATATGCAGTCCAGATAACATGTTCAATTAGAACTGAGGACATTTAGGAATGAAAAGAACCCAAAAAGGCCCAAAGAAAGATAAATTAAAACAAGTGTATTAACATAAGTGCTGCTGGAAATGAGTTAAATCCTATTCGAATATTATCAAAATAGGATAATTCTTACTGCAAATGACAAAACGCCAGGATAGACTCCTGCAGAAAACACATGTCTTGGCAGGATATTCATTAAAACACAACTTTAAATGCGACTAAACCCTTTGAAAATGATTAATAAAGATTGGCTAAGTTCATTAAATTGCTTTTTTTTTTTTTTTTTTACAGCAGTAAGGCAAAACAGAGTAATCGGAAATCGATCTATGCATGTCGATTACTTTTAAACATCGGTTACATGCAGTAACATGTAGAAAAATCATAACATATATTGCTTTAGCACAAAATTAGCCAGGTTATGGTATACAGCATCATGTGCAAATTCAAACGAGGGCTTGCTTGAAGTGGATGTTAAAACATATGAGGTGACTTAGAAAGCACCGGGGACGTATCTGTTGGACTGGAGGAGAGCCATGAACTCCTGTTTCCTCTTGATCTGGCCCATCAGCTTGATACTCATGATGAGTAGAACCACCTGGAAACAGAAGCAGAGGTTGGATCATCGCAAATGTTTCAACGAACTCGACGTTGCCATTTTCAGAGACATGCAATCATTTGAATATCTTAAACATAAAAAAGGTGGAGTTAGTGTTCAAACTGGTGTTTTTAACAATCGTTTTTATCTCATTTGTGGTCAAATTTTTGAAATTCCAAACACAGTTAAGCACAATATTTGTCAATAACGCAATTTACATGTTTATAATATGCCTATATTTTATTTGCATATTATTTTACTAAGTCATAAAATCCCGCAGTACGCCAGAAATTAAAATCTAATGTTCAAATCGTGAATATATGTCGTAATAGGCCTCTACTTCTGCTCCAACAGCGGCCAAAAAGCTAAACTGAAACACCCGATAAGCATTTCTGAATAAACTGAAACACTGAGAAATAGCTGATTTAAGATTTGTAAAAATGAAGCAAACGCAGCTGATTCAAACCTCAAAGGGAGACACATCCAGGTGTTAAAGTTGTAGATGCAAAAATGCATGAAAAAGAGGACTTTTTGTTCAGTCTGGTTACAGAACAGCACAAAGGAGCAGGTAGAGGAAAACAACACATGACTAGACGGTGAAGATTGTACAGTTTGTGTTATTTCCCTTCTGTATTATGATTTTAACTTTGCACGTTTGTAACTAAAGGTCACGCATGTTGCACTGTTTTCGATATATCAATGTCAGCATATTCATTTCACTAATAAAGCTTAGCAAAATGTCGAGTAGTTTACAGGAAAAGGAATCTGAATCATAAAAACAGTGGAGCTGACGTATTGTTTATTGTATGCAGTTAAACCTCTCAACCTCAAAATCCACCAGCGGCTTTAAAAGGAACGTTTTATTTTTTTAAAAAACTGTCAAAATTCCACCATTTATCAAGGCAGAAAGTGTAAAAACAACTGGATTTTCAAGATTAATTTTCTGACGCTGAAGCAAAAAATCATTAAAATGATTTTTTTCTACATGTCTTATTTTAAAGTCTTACCGCACACATACAAAAAACAAACACGCACATAGGTATACATAAGAAAACGCACATACCCAGAACACTCCACTTCCAAACTGTATACCCATCTCCAATGAGAATGCAAGCTTCAGTTCGGAAACATAAATCGGTAGGCAGGGCTGTGAAAAACAAAGCAGATAAAGGTTCAGAGGATATTGAGGGAAACTCACTGACAAAATAAGGAGTTTACTGTATCACTAAAAGCCTATTTATCAAGATTTGTTTACCTCTTGATAAACATACTGGTTCTTCGGAGCCCCAAGTGTGGCGCTGCCCCGTAGTCGGATCTGTTTGAGAGTATAAAGATGTATGAGATCCTGTAGAGCTACTTCACACTTCAGCTTACTGACTTACAGTCCTGCATTCTTTGTTTTCATGCTGTGTCTGTATTGATGATGGGAATAAAAGACTGTCACGTCTCAGAGGTGAAACCAGATTACATTTCAGTCCACTTGTTTCTCAGGTGGAATTATTTTTAGATGCACCTGAAGTTTTGTCCACCTTTACTTCAGTGTTCTGGTAAACCAGGGGTGTCCAATCCTGGTCCTCGAGAGCCCCTACCCAGCATGTTTTGGATGTTTCCCTCTTCCAACACACCTGATTCAAATGATCAGCTCATCATCAAGCTCTGCAGAAGCCTGATAACGATCCTGATCATGTGAATCAGGTGTGTTGGAAGAAGGAAACATCTAAAACATGCTGGATAGGGGCTCTCGAGGACCAGGATTGGGCACCCCTGTGGTAAACAGTGCATGTCCTACTCTGTATGTAGACAAATCAGGCCTTTACTATATAGTCAGTTCAGCAAACTCAGGATATCCTGTTGATATCTGGCTTAACTAAGCCTAACAAAGCAGTCACTCGACGCTGGATTCTGAAGTAAGTTCACATAAAATATAATAATATAAAAGATATAAAAACTATCTGCTGATCCAGATATGCAGACACTTCTTCATTTAAATTGCTTTAAGTTATCGGATCCTGAAGACACGCTCTTTCATCTTGCCTGTACTCCTGTGTATGTACAGCAAAATGACAACAAACTTGATTTGATTTGATAAAAGCGACTGTGTTCACTCCAGATTATCAGTCTTAAGGCAATATACAAACAAAATACAAACTAGAAACCTGAACGCATATGAGGAAGTTAAAAATAAAACACAGGCTAAAATTAACTGAGCCAAACTGCAGGCTGTGCGGATGTTAACAGGTTTGCAAGCATCACTGCCACATCATTAATCATTCAGGCACAAGTAGATCTGACTATCATTACAACTGTGTATTCCATTAAATATGCTGCTTTGATGTTCTTGTGGCGTATAAAACCAGTAAACAGTAAAGAACAATTATAATATCAGCAAGGATTTAACACTTTAATCAGTCTCTGTTTTAGGTTTAAATCACTATATAAAGGCCTAGAGAACAGTGAATCTGCTTTGAATATGCTTGAAACTGAATAAAATAAAGCAAGAAAGACTGCTATTCCCTTTACAAAGAATCTGTATGTCTCATATCTGCACTCATCAGTGAAACAAAAGGGTTCCTGCCCTCCTCAGAAATCTCTTACTTTCCGTGCACTGAGCTCCACAGAACCCAATGGGAACAGAATTGATTGGTCAGTAGGTGGCGTTTTATACACATTGATCTGCTCTCTTGAACACAGTGTTCAGCACAAGTTGTACCCCGTGTGAAGTGAACCACTGCTGAAGCCCTGAAAACCCACAGTTAAACCTGAAGTGAGCTCATTAACCCCAAATTCTGCTTCACAGCACAGACTGAAGGTTATTCCTCAACGCAAGACTAAAATCTGCAAGTATTCTGTAGAACGAAGCAATAGCACTAGAGATATAAAACGTGCTTATATACTCATGAAACAAATGGGGATGAAGCTCGAGCCGATCTGATTACAAAATGTGCATGTTTTCATTGAGTCTTCATACTTTTTATGGGTAGTTAATGTCTGTAATGTTGTTACCTTTAGTGATGTGACTGCCTGGCACACTTCTTATTTTGTTTATATCACAGGTAATACGATAGGTTGTTTTATATCGATTTGGCTGTTGTAATGGTCTTCCTGTCTGTCTATTCCGTCTTTATGTTCCATTTCTATATTGCACTAGGTAGTGGAACAACAAATACACATGGAGACTGTGTTTTCTTCTGTGATTTGTGCCATCCAGATTCACACATCCTCACTGCTGATTAGATTTAGGTTGTTTTGTGGTGATTTCACAGGTAAATTATTGGCCTTCACCCTCACTTTCTTTTTTTTTTGAATGGCCTCAAAGTGAGACGTGGACCGTAGCTTATATATCCCCATTTTTCACTTTTATTTCAAAATTGCATTAATGGTTTATTTTGGAAACCAGAATGATTGGCAGCTACTTTAGGAGATAGTTAAGGGGATCCAAGTAAGAGTGTCTTAAACTTTGTGATGTCCAGTGTTTAGTGGGTTCAAGTTTCAGCAATAAAACTAGCCATCAAAACATAATTACTTGGAAGCAAAAGATGACCAAAATAATAAAATGTAATCGAGTAACGGAGACAATGTGTGGCTACAGAACCAGAAATCTGAATGTGGGAACTTCACTGTTTCATGTGAGGGGAGATACTTACACATTTTCCTGGATACTGACAGTTACAAGAGGGAGGGATTGAAGAACCCCAGTCTTTGTAGCCTTCAATAAGACCGCAGCATTCAAACTGGAAGGAGACAAACACAAACACATGTCGAGTAAAGAGTGAATCTCAGACGCAGCACCTATTAGTCCTCACGTTTCAGTTTGAGGTGAATGTTCCTTTAAGAGAAGACACGCCCACTTGTCAGGCCCCGCCCTGGAGGCTACATATACGGCAGGTGTGGCTCCAGTCCAGCTTGATGCCACCTGAGTGCTGTGTGTGACTTGTGTGTCTGTCTGTGGGGTTACTGCAGGAATATGTGCTTCCAATACATTTAACTTTGAGGCTTTTGTTTGGCCGCATGTGGCAGAAAGTTGACTCTTTGGGGAAGGAGAGAAAGCTGCTAGAATACTGCAAAGATAGAAGAATGAATATATGAGTTGAAAACAAGATGGCGGAAGTTGGAAGCTAGAAGGGACGCTCACATGGGCTACGTCTTTTCAGCAAAAAAAAGGTTGTGTCAGGCTATTAGCATGAAAAACAGCAAGTATAAATATAACTAATAAAAGCCACTGTTGCTAGTTGTGGTTGGCTGCTAACCAAGGTACACTGAGGAAAGGGGAGAGTCATGTGTTGATCATTCTATTTCTCAATGTCATGGAAAAGTAACTGTTTTAGGGTAACCACGGAATCAAACGTGTGAATTTTCTACCGAAATAGCAACATGGCGTTTGTATGTCATGGTATAATGCAGCACAGAACAAAATGTACACACATGTTGAACTGGAAAGTGCAAAAGTCTGTATGCTAAAGAGCAACATGGACATGGTTTATATTAGCCTGAAGAAGTTAAAGAAGCTAACTTCTTGTTGTGTGATTGTTCTTTGACTTTGGTAGCAGCTTTGAATTTTTTTGTAAATACAGTCAAATTCTCATCACAGCTGTTGTCTTCAGCTTGTGTATAGTGTCAGGTGATTTATGTGTTGATAAAATCATGATTTTAGCAGTGACTGCTGGCTAGCATGTAGCATTTCAGGTACAATTTCATACGTATTCCTTTGACAACAAGAACAGAAAATATGTAAATGAGAACAGCTTTACTCGAGATTTGGCTGCATTGAAATACAGCGTATGGGAACACAGAGCAGGAGAGAAGCACACAGATTTCTACAATTCTACAATCTCATTTAGCAGATGCTTTTATCCAAAGCAATCTGACAGCAGATACAACACAAGCAAGGATCTGATTTTAAAGTGTCAAGATCAGAAGGTTTAAAGCTGTTTTCTTTTCATGTGCTCACCACCTTTTTGTTCTCTGTTAATCTGAAATACTCCCTCACTTTCAAGTTCTTGATTTTTGTTGAAAACCACTCAAACTGACCCCAGATGGACTCTGCTACCACCGTTGTCTGAACCTGTTATACTGACGACAGCTGACCGATAAGTGGCGTCAAAGGGCGTCATGATGCAACAATTATGGTCTGATACTGATGAAAAATATTTGGTATGATGAATTAAAGTGAGCAAGGGTAGCCCCAGCACTATTTTGACCACATCTGCCATCACACAAAATGGCCTCAGACAAACAAAGGAGACAACGGCACACACAAGACAAAACCTCTGGACATCGATGCTGCAAACAGATGTTCAGTATATGTTCATCGTGGGGGATAAAGCTCAGATTCCAGTGACCTAAAACCGTGTCTGCATGTAGACAAAAGGCCAAACAACACAAGAAAAGCCACATTTTAAATTACCACCCATATTCATGAGGCCACGGCCTTTCACTAAAACAACATGGCTTGAGTTGAAGGCCACCACAGCTGAGTAAGAACACGTGGAAGTGTTGAAAGTATACTTCCTGTTTCCATCTCCAGAGCATCATGGGAACTGTGGTTGCACATTTATTCCCAAACTCGGATCAAAACAAATCAAACAACAATAATTAACTGTATTAACAACTTTCTTAAATGTTAAACAAGAGGAATCTTTGTTACATTAGAGGGAGAAGGGCTCGTTCTGTTGTTGTTTTGTTTTTTTTTTAGATAAAAGACTCATTGGGGACCAATCAGAGCAGGAGATAGGATTTGTCATGAACCAATCAGAGTAGAGACATCATGGACCAATCAGACGGGGTTACAGGTGATTCTGCAGTCACATGACGAGGATGTGCTTCAGAAACTAAAGTGATGAATCTATTTTACAAACTGTACAACGACAATAATAATAATTATTATAATTATATCCACGCTCAGTAAAATGTTCTGAATCCACTCAGACACCTTCGTCTTCTTGCTCTACAGTTTGTATGTTGGGGGAAAAGTCAGGTATTGACTGTGCATGTGTGAGCATTTTAAAGATACCAAGTACATTAGGGGGTACGTCCCTTGAGCTTGGGTAACTTCCTAAAAGCCAAGTTATTAGGAGACATCTTGAGATATTATGGCTGCATTGCAAACTGTAACATAAAACAACAGATGAAGCTGCCTACCTCTTTTTGAATACTGTTCAGCAGCGTTCTGTTGGCTTTGCTGGTCGTGGTGAGCGGCATCATGGACAGCAGCTTGGTTTCCTCGCGTACCACACGTTTCTGAGGAGAGACGTAACACTCTTAAATCCTTTCTTTGTTTATTTGGACACACTGTGGCTTTTTAATAGCCTTAGTTGATGCTATACTTTAGGGGTTGAATAAATAGCTTGTGCAAGTCGTTTACCGTACCTCATAAACATCTTGGTAACTTAGTGCTGTTCTAACAATTATTGTTTGACTGGCTGCTGCCATCCCAGCTGCGTACTGCACACACACACAGAAGTAGACAAGAAACTGAATTTGCACTATAAAACACATACAGTTTACACACACGTAAAAAGAAAAGCTTTTCTTTTGACAGGGATACAGTAACACACACATAGTTGAAATAAACTGCATAAATTATTATTATGATTTTTTTTTACCAGAATCAAACACCATCTCTTTCCTTGGCAGGCTCCAAACACGCCGAGCACCGAGAGCAGCAGGCAGCCGATCTCTACGATGTACATTATCACCACCGACACATGGGACACCATCTGGAGGGAGAAAATCACACATTAACTAGCTTTTTCTAATCAAACAGTTTAAAATCGGAGGATATGCGGAGGAAGCACGATTCACCCGACCTGAGATACTCACTTACACTTAAAATTAATCGCAATTTCCTTGTCAAGGATGTATTGCAAAGATAGAAGGGCCACAAAAGAGGTCAGAGGTCACGGTCGGATACAGAACGGCCTGAAGATGATTCACTGTCTGGCTCAGGGACGCTTCAGCAAAGCAAAAACACTTTCAAAATACGAGCGGCCGCCTGCAGTTCATCTCCAGAAAAGACACGTTTTCAAAAGGTGCTGCGTTCAGGCAGTATCGATGAAGGGAGGCTCATGCATTAATAATTGTCTCCATTTGAAGCCAAGACAAAGAGAGGAGGTTTTTTTTTTATCAATTTTATATCTGCTGCTGTAACTATTTTCATCTGATCAGGGAGGGAGAGAAAAAGAAGCCAGTCTTACTTTGCCAGTTTGGATGAGGTCTCTGTGCCACGCTACTGTCATGGTCAACATGAAGAAGCACAGCCCCTTCAGAGAGAAAACACAAACATTCGGTGTAAGTTAGGAGGATGTAAAGCGTTTAACGAAGGTGAATACTACTGTGAGATTGTCTGGATTTTTATTTTGCAGCTTGTTTTGAATTTGGTGTCACTTCTTAAAGGAGCAGTGGAAGGCAGCAGGAGGAGGAGAAGATCCGGATTACAAAACAAAGGAAGGCCTGCACTGAGAAATACACCATTAAGAGCATTATAAGAACATTCCAGGTGATATTTTAGAGGAAACAGGTCGATTTGAGGAGGAAATGAGAGGGAAAAAAATGCAAATATAACCATCACTGCTGCATCTTTTATGCAATCAGCCAATAGACATTTTTCTTTCTCATCACCTAGTTGTGTATAATCTTAAAAAATAAAATAAAATGTTTGGGGGGAAACAAAAACCATCCTGCAATCATTTTAACAGGATGGAGATGCTTCGCTGCCGCAGACAAGAAAAAAAAAAAAAAAAAAAAAAAGCTCCATCACGACCCGAACTGATGATCTGCAGCAACATTTCATCACAGAAAACCGCAAATCGAACAGGCCTCGGGGGCTTAAACTGTATTCATTGAAATGTACCTACCATATGCACAGCGTTTGCGAAGATAAACGGCCTTTTGAGGCTCGTTTTATCCGCCACCACGATCACTGCGCTCCGCTGCATCCTGATGCTGCTGCTGATGCTGATGCTGCCGGTGTTGTGCCGAAAAACGCATCCCTGCCGTGAAAAGCACTCCCTCTCCAGGAGCGCAATGACAGCCATTCGCCTGTAGATGGCGTGTACCCATGTTTACTGCCCTTAATTGGGTTTGCCACAATATACACCCCAAAGAGTTTACAGCCACCAAATTCACAACATTTATTGTTGATAATGATCTGAGCATACTCTGAAAAGTTGAAAATTCTGGGACCAACAGGGACAGGTTTACTGGGGAGATGCATATTCTGACAATGGGGTCTGCCGGAACATGCTATGCTTTTGTCGGCACAACACCGGGCTTCAAAACGCCCTTTTACACAGAGGGGATGCTAAGGCTGAGGACCTGGAGCTGTAGCAGCGAGGGCATCTGTCTCCTGCATCCGCGCAGGACATCACTGTGATGTGCCGGATGTAGGGGTCTGTGCTACGTTCAGGTGCGTCACGGAAACGTTGGGATCAGGAGCTTTAACGCACAGGACTGAGGCGTTCAGCGAGTTGTGTGTGTGTTGTTAGAAAAAGCCACAGCCAGATCCCTTACCACTCAATCAGTCCAAAAATACAATGAACTGATGATGTTTTGGAGATGTGGAATTGCCAGAACCGTGAATTAATTGCCAGAATTTTTTATTTTTTATTTTTTTGAAAATGGAGTGTTTGTTGAACCATCCGTCCATCCATTATCTATACACCGCTTAATCCTCACAAGGGTCATGTGGGTCTGGAGTCTATTCCAGCTGACTTAGGGTGAAGGCAGGGGACACCCTGGACAGGTCACCAGTCTATCACAGGGCTACACTTAGAGACAGACAACCAAGTACACTCATATTCACACCTACGGACAATTTAGAATCACCAATTAACCTCAACATGTTTTTGGACTGTGTGGGAGGAAGCCGGAGAACCCGGAGAGAACTCACACTGCACGGGGAGAACGTGCAAACTCCACGCAGAAAGATTCCAGTGCCCCCACCGGGACGCGAACCGGGATGCGAAAGTTGATATTTAAAAAAATGTAAATGTCAACTTTTCAAATATGGGTATCAATTTGTATTATTTTTGCTACATCTGGCTTTTTTGGTGCATGGATTACTGATCCATGCTGGACTATCTCTGCATTGCATGTGTCTGATGGTATACATCAGTTTTTTCAGGGGAAAAAAAGCATCACACTGATGATGTAGAGGCCTCAGAAACTCATTTATCAAATATGATATATTTGGCATCACAGGGTTATAAACATGCTGACGTAAACAAGAATAAAAAGGTTAAGTGAAGGGGCGCCGCTTTAGCTCACCTGGTTGAGCTGGCGTCCCATGTATAGGGCTACAGTCCCGATGTGGAGGTCATGAGTTTGAGTCCCGCTCATGACCCTTTCCCACACATCTTCTCCCCTACTTTCCTGTCTCTGTCTCACTGCACTATCAATAAAGTCCAAAAATATAACTTTAAAAAAAAAAAGGTTAAGTGAAGAAAATAAATTTACGAAATTCACATATGTGACCCATCTGCACAAAATCAGTCACATTGCATCTTGGGTTATGTCCGAAATACCGCCCAAATTATGTTAACGCACGATAAAATGTTGACTTTGGGTTTATTACTGAGATTGGTCCATTTAGTTGGTTTCTACATGACGGTAACATCTAATATCGCTGTCAAATACCGTCACCGTACATGAACGGTAACACCAGAAAGAAGCCATGGAACATGTCATTGCCAGCCAATCCTGTCTCGTGATGTGGTAGTAACGTGCGGCTTTTGCATGATAGCCCAAAGCGCAACGCAACTGATTTCGTGCAGATGGGTCACGTGTACAAAAGTATGGAGGAAGTTGCCTCTGTTTCCTCGTACTGTTGTTCACACGCAGCCATTGTTCATTTGTTCCTCATTTTATGCCACTCTAAAACACATGAAACTGCTAAGCTGTTAATTAATTTCTTGATTTGAGATTCGCTTATGGCTGTGTGGTAAAACCTCCAGAAACTGGGCGTCCCAGTGGTTCAATTGGTTGAGCAGGTGACCTACGTATCCGGAGTTGCATGCAAAACATTAAAGTACACAAAGCATCAGAAAGCAACAATAGAACATCAGTAAATACAAGAGCGATAACAAAACCTTGGAAAAGAGATAAATGTGTCTGCACAAGTAGATTTTCAAAAAACCTGACTTAAAAAAAAACACATAATCAAACATTTCAGGAAGAAATCATGAATAAGTCTGCATTCAAGTACAGTTCTTGAATAAATACACTTACGTTCTGTGACTTTTTTTCAGTGGGGTTTCAACAGATTAAATGAAATCCTGACTGCATTTCCCAGAATCCACAGCAACAGTGGGGTTGGGCTACTTGCCCAGAACAGGTAGAGTGAGTTTCTATTGTTACCACAGGTGCTGTGAAGAGAGAGAGAGACTGTAAGAGGAAAGAAAAGGCCGATGAGAGAGAGTCAGGTGGAGGAAACATACTGACACGTGTGTGAACCGGCAGCAGGTGGATCAGACAGCAACCTGGATTATGAACAAGCATCTCATTTAAAGGAAGCTCCTGTTTTGTTCTTTTACAACCTGGAGGACGGGAGAGGATGGGATTCACTCTGTGTTCTGCTGTGAGCCGTAAAGTGGGTCAACACCTGAGAAGGAGCTGAAAGCAGAAGCAGAACTGAGGCAGTTTTGTCCTCCTGAAAGAGCACAAGAGAGGCGGGAAACACTGAACACACTGGGAATACAGAACAGTTGATTCCTTGTACTTTTTTTTCAGCTGTGCACACTGTAAATATTGGAAATGTTAGCTCAAGTAAATGGAATTTGTCTCGCATTTGAACAGCTCTAATTTGCATTTTGACTAATTGTGTTACAACCCCAAACTGGTTTTACAGGCTGAACTAATGCAACTGAATCTAGTGGAAACCTACCAAGCTTTTAACTAGAGGAGGAAAGTGTGCAGCAGTTGTTTTGGATGCAGCCAAACAGAATTGTCTTTTCCTTCATATGACTCAAGAAAGATAACGCCATCTCTCAACCTCAAAGGCCAAACACATTCCAAGTGATCCACACTAACAGGAGGCATCGTTTCCTCTCCACGCCTTCACGTCCAGAACAGTCTCCTGCTGGACCTCCACCATGCAGACACCGGGACCCGAACACGACGACTCCTTTGATTTTCTGTTCAAGATCATCCTCATCGGAGACTCCAACGTGGGGAAAACCTGCGTGGTTCAGAATTTCAAGTCGGGGATTTTCTCCGAGAAGCAGCAGAACACCATCGGGGTGGATTTCACTGTGAGAACTGTGGATATCGAAGGAAGGAAAGTCAAGGTTGGTTCTGTTTTGTGGTGCTTTTGAACATAAAACCCCCAAGTATGGATGTGGAGCATGTGTGTGAATGTTAAAAAAATCTCCCAAAAACAGACTTTTTTTGAGCAATTTAATCAGCTCAAATCTGCTAATTTGATCATTTGGAGTTATTATTACGCACTACTGGGAAGTATTTGGCCTGTATGGTTGTAAAAACACATCCAGAATGGAACAGAAAGCCCAGTAAACACTCTGATCCTTATCATTTGATTGTAGAGTCACAGTGGCAGCAGGGAACCAGGTCTTCTGGTAAAATATTGAATGAAACATAAAGGAAATAAATGAAAAATTATTGCTTGTATGAATGGAACAACTCCTGGACTCCGTTCAAACATGCAGACATGATGGACTTTGGGAGTCAATGACGCAGCAGTGAGGTGTCCTTCGGTTACAGTTAGACTCAATCCAAAACCAGTCGGACCGGCCGCTCACATGAGGGACCTGCCAGTCAGGTTTTTCTGCCCCAGGTTTTGAGCAGACGAAAATAAACTTGGAGTGACTTCTCTGTTCTGTCCTGAAGCTAGAAAAAGAAGTAATAGTTTAGGCGGATCATGATTGGTTCTGCATGCGTTAGACATTCAGTTGGGTTGTAGTTCATGCATTTGTTATTACCTTCAACAAACTAGATATTCATGTGATTTTTGAACAAGTAGATAGCCACCAACACTGCAGTGCACTGCCAGGTGTGGTAAAAGGGTAAGGAAGCCCAGAAAAGTGTTTTTTTTTTTTTATTTAAAAAAGTCCCGTTCTGTAGTGACACATCGCACTTTCCGACCACTTTCTGTTTCCTGTTTGCAGCACTCTCTCTTCCAGTAGCTTCATCTGTCATAGCCACAGGGGAAGGCACAGTCTCAACACACACAAACACACCTTCAGCTAATGTGTTGTTTTGTGTACAAGACAGATGACGGGATGATTAGATTCCACAGCGTGCTTTCTCTTTTTAACAAACATCAGCTGACCTGTCAGACATAATGGAAATATTCCAACTATCTGCACCATTTGATCTTTAACAGGACAGTGACGTCAAAGGTCTATTTTAGACTCAAACATGCAAAAGAAAGTTACCGCCTTTGAGTTTTGCTCATGTTCGTGCGCCACCGCTTTGCATTTATTCATCTGGAGGTATCTTATTTCCTCAGATTTATTCAGTCTGTTTTTGTTTAGCTGCAAGTCACAACGTAAGGCTGCACTGGATTACATTACTTGTAAAATGACAGCTCGGGTTTCAGTGTTTTTAACTCAACAACAACTGATGTTTGAAGCCTGAGGCTACATGATTGAGACGGCAGATAGTTAGTGTGTCTTACTTTTCATGGCAGATGTCTTAAGTAATCAGAAGATGTATGTCTTTGATTCTGTATTCTGTAAGTGGCTTTGGTTGCTTTAAAACTAATTACGCACTTGTGCTACTGAAAACACACAAAGTGCAAAAGATTTTATATTTCAGTTATGTCATGTAAGTTAAGGTAGCAAAGCAGACATGTAGTTAAATAAAACACTATAATGAAGTAAGTAGTATTTCAAAAAGAGCCAGTTGGCTTACTGGTTTGCTCATTTTTGCAACTTGTGCGAAAAGAAGGAGTCTCTGTGCAGGGAAAAATACCATCAGAATTTGCAAAATGCATTTTTTTGCAGCTGTAGGATGGTCAGTTTAGGCTTTAACTTCATCGCTTAAATGTAAAAATATGTTTAGGAGTTGCTTTTTAAGCCTAACAACCCATTTGCACTCGCTTTAGGAAGACAAATGACTCGGGCCGGTGTGTCTCGTTGGTTGCTATGACAGTTGTTGCCATACTGGTTTGTTGGATCCTCAGGGAGAACTCTGCACAGGAAGACCTAAAGGGATCTGTTCTGAACCAGTGTTTCAACTGTGTGAGCGATGGTGTGTATACTGGGAGAGCCTATTTTCTTGCTGCTTATATCCATATGAGCCATATATCCAGTTCACTGAGCTGTCAAACGAAAGGTGATCATTTGTGTGTCAGCCCGAAGCCTAAATACCTTTTATTTAGACTAAGTACTGGAACTATACAGAGAAGTGTGAGCAAGGATGATGAAAAACCCTATTGAGTGTCCTGAATCCTGGATATTACTACCTTGGTATGATTTTAAGATGCAGCTACTGTGTGTTCTAATTTGTGTATGTTAAAACCGATCAGATGCAGGTGTGGGACACGGCAGGCCAGGAGAGGTTTCGTACCATCACCCAGAGCTACTACCGCAGCGCTCATGGCGCCATGATTGCCTACGACATCACAAGACGCCCGACCTTTGACTCCGTGACCCACTGGATCAAGGAGGTGGAGCTGTATGGAGCCACCAACGTTGTGCTGGTTCTCATAGGTGCGTGTGGATGGGAAATTTTAAAGGTGGACAACGTAACAGGAATATTGTGAGATGATTACTAAAACCCTGCAATAAGAGCACCGGAACGATCCGTGTAAATCCTAAAACCTGCCAGCAGGTTTGAAAGGGACGCTATATTTTCAGATGGCATCATTTAGCAGCCAGAAACTGTGAAAAGAAATGTTAACTTTTCAACAAACACTCAGGGTGTCATGGTTCTGTTAATAAAACAAACCAAAATGAAGCTTAAAAATGTGCTATTTCATTCAAATCACATGATGGTGCATGCCTCATTAAACCCACCCCAACCCTGACTATCAACTCCAAAAATAAAGCTCTCACACCAGATCCAGGAATAAAAATCTTAAATAAAATCTGCACTCCTCTGTGACAAGCCAAGACTGACTCAATAGAAATTCAGAGAGTTTTCAGGTGAACTGCAAGCTGTGAGGAAAATACAACATTACTGATCAATAAAATAAATGTAGTATGGTTCAAAAACAGTATAATGTTGGATCATACATTCAACACAGTGAAACATCTTTCAATACTGGATGTGTGGAGTAATGTAAAAGAAAAGAGAGATTGTAAAAATGTCAGTCATAAAACATCTACAGCATTTTCAGCTCCCATGTTGTCCAGCGTTGGTAACATGTGAGCATTTAATGTTGTACATGTTGATTCCATTTTCTTTTTCCACTTTATCATAGACATTCATCCTTCTTAATATAATTTATGGCGTTCTTGCTGTCATGCTGCACGGAAGACATTTGAAAGATTGTTGAATTTCTAACCATGGTGTTCCCAAAGAGGTGCAGGACTTTATACTGCAGTGAAAAATAAACCCACAAAAATGTGACAGGAGCAAAAGATAAGCCCACAAACTGCTTGTGGTTCAGAAGGTTAAATAAAACTAGAATCAAGTATTGTAAGTCATATTTGTACTTGCCCATTAATCAATTAAGTCTAAAGTTCACTTCCTGAAGCACTTGGCTAGTGCAGCTCTTTTCACTTTCGTTATGGTGATAAGAATAATTCTGCTTTCACCCCTGGTATGGTAATGATATTTGGCTATGGTTCTTATTTAAAGGCAGCTTGTGTGGAAAAGACTTTCTACCGAATACACTCCTATTTAAAATTCCATGTTGTTCTTCCAGTTCTATTTAAAGGACTCTGAGTACCACATGATCTTCATAATCTGTAAAAGATAATCAAATCCCTCCCTAAATTCCTAACTTTAAATAGAACTTGTTATTATTTCAGTCACGTAAATCAGAAAAACAGAATCAAGTGAGTGAATTTACACACAACGCAGAATGTTCCTCTGCGGCAAAGGTTGGATTTTATTTCACATGATCTCCTTATGAACGCCACAAAGTGTGGAATTTAAACTTTCAGCTTGCTGGATCAGTTCCAGTACAACAAAGTACCTTCAAACATCTGACTGTTAGCATTCCACATTAAAACGTGTGTTTACAGAACTACTTACAGCAGTGTATGTAATCATGTTGACATGTCAGCATGTAAATATGGTTGCTGTGTATACATCACTCAGCTTCCTGTTTGTCTCCGTGCAGGTAACAAAAGCGACCTGGAGGACGAACGGCAGGTTCTGTTTGAGGAGGCCTGCAATATAGCAAAGGAGAGAGGCATCCTAGCTGCTCTAGAAACATCTGCAAAGGTGCTGAGTGTTTCCACAAAACATCGAGGAGAGGCTTTGAAGTACTTGTCATATAAAAATGCTTTTTTATTTTCCTGTCTAGGAGAGTCAGAATGTGGAAGAAGCCTTCCTGATGATGGCCAGAGAGCTGATGTCTCGTAACGGCCTTCATGTCCAGCAGGGGGACTCAGACAACGACACACCTCGAATTCTCCTCCGAGCCAACTCTCGACCAGTCGATGGCGCTGCAGCTGCGGCGTACACGCCACCAGAGAAGAAGACGTGTTGCTGATGCACATGAGGGAAAGACAAGAGGGGTTGGAGATTTAAAGATGAAGGACTTCTACCACTATGAATGTTAGAGAAGAAGAATGGTAGCAAAGTGCATTGGGAGTGGACGAAGGCCAGCACGGCCTCAAGGACCAAGAACCTTTGCATTGAGGAAGTTTAGGGAATGATTTTAAGTATTAAAACATCAATGCAGTGTACTTTGCTGTTACTTCCTGACCTGAAAGAACTGTGAAGCAGGCATGTTTACCAGTAAGCAAATAGGAGAAAGTGGTGAGGGTGATGGGTTTCATCAGTGTTGTAGGAAGGTTACAGTAACCAGTCTCATTTACATCAACTATACCTGCACTGTTTTTCAGCTTTTTTAATGTCACACCAGATGGCAGTTTCACAGTTCTCTATCTCTTGTGTTTTTACATTGGAATCGCAACTCTTCGCGTTGTATCGTGTCAAAACGCCGTCTTCATGCTTCACTCTGCCGATAAAAAGTTTCGAAAACCCAGAAAAGGACTATTAGATGAGACTTTCACCTTTCTTGCAGTGCAACTGTGCTGAGCTGTGATGTGTGACAATCCACTGGAGGACCTGCTGTTAGCCGAAACACTGTGAATTATGCATATTTGTTTGACTTTGTCTTGTGACGATTGCAAACATGATGATGTCTCATTTTGTCATAAATCGCTTTGGTTGTGTTCCAAATGGTTTCTCACAGTTTTCTTATAAGTTCACATGATGAATCAGGGGTAAAAAACTGAACCTAATGAGAGGAACAATGGCTCTCTGAAGCAGGTTTTCAGCCACAAACTCCCAAAATAACAGAGTCATGACCCCCACGTTCCCCGGAGGTGGTTGAATTATTGCTGTCATTTAAACTCACCTAATGAGGTAGGCGTGAATTCTGCTTGGGGAATCAATTCTGTGTGGGAACCACTGCTATGGTTAAGAGTGTCACATTTGCATTACGGACAAATTATCACTGTGGCTTAGATTCGACAAATATTTCCTCATTTGGTACATTAATGGAGGAGGAAACTGGTGTCAGTCCAGCATCTAACAAAGCTCACTAGTAGGTTGAGAACTTGTGAGTTTGAAGGCCATGATACATGATTCACAGCATTGAAAGCATTCAGTAATCAGTAAACCATATTCATTTTACTGACACCCATCTATGTACAAAAATAGAAATGCAGCATGCAAATGGTCTTCTTTTCCGACTTAAAGGGGAAGTTAAAAACGGAATTTCTGGTACTGTGGTTATCATTTAGTTAATCCACATCCTTGTTAGATGTGTCCGTAAAAGATAATGATCTGCTTGCAACCAATAAAGAGACACTCCTTTCACCAGTTAAAAGTCACCTTAAAATGCAGCTTTATTCAAATGACATGATGCCACAGATGACAAGAGTGAGATGAGAATGGGTTGTTGGCCTACTGGATGCTGGTATGTTAGTTACGGCTAGCAGTCAGGCACCTGAATGTCCACAACGCCACCATTTGTTGTCTAAGAATTTGTTTCAGACCTCATATGACAGACAGGACTGCAGACTATGTGTCACCATTAGAAGCCGAGGACCATTTGTGATTGGCTGAAGATGTTGGTGGTCTTTTACCAACAACCAGAGAATATCTGCTGGTTTGTGATCTTGATGCCCACACCAAAGCCTTGACCTAAAAGCAGAGCACTATGATCAGCTCCAGTTGGTACCCACTCACATTTGCTGGACACTAGCAAGATTGAGGATGGTCATTCCCGTTGATTTATTTTATTTTCAGCTGTATAGAGCAGATGGCAGATGTCGCATTTAGTGTTGTTCAGGGGAACCATATGCGGATGTCAAAGCCGAAAATGGCCCATGGAGGCAAAAGAGTGATGGTATAGGCAGGGATATGCTTTGAACAAAAAATACAGCTTTATTATTTTTGATGGCAATCTCAGTACCAAATGATGTTGAGATAAAATCTTCACATCCATATTAATCCTGTTCATTTGCTGCCATCACTTGATGTGTTCCTGATATCTCCAAAGTATACACTGCACCTAGTCTGCGTACTCCCCAGACATGTCACCCATTGAACATCTGTAGGATGTCTGGGTGGATATGTCCAACAACACAATCCTGTCTGCCAACTTCTCCGAACCCTTCAGGAAGACTGGGGGATTTCTGGTCTGGGACCCCTAACTCGATCTACCCATTATCATTTCATTGTTGTTCAAAAGAATGGATAGAATTTAATAACGTACAACAAGTTGCATTATATTTTTGGTTCAGCATATACGAGAAGTTGCTGGAGGAGGTTTGAGCTGGCAGAACACTTCCTCAAATCAGCCTCTGACTCAGTACTTCCTTGTGAACACTAGATGGTACTGTTCCGCCACACTTGACCGCAGGCCGCTTGCTGCCTCGCACAATAAAGGTGATTTAAAACATCTGTGAGAGCACTAAGAAACAATTAACCAAGTTTACATGCAAGCCAGGAGACAGGAAAAAGAGTCAAATCATCCTTAAGGCCAAGCTGTGCCAAGATTACTTCCTCCAAAACTGAGCTGACAAGGCTCACATCCAGGATGTAATCTTTGTTTGTGTCCAATGCCAAGTTGGCAGACCTTATTGAAACCTTGAAGTAATGTTGCTGGATCCATTCCGATTGTTGCTTTCTGTGACAGTGATGTAGCTAATCTGCATCAGCGGTGATCGATTTTTTGTTGTGTAATCTCGACCTCACCTTAGGGAACCAAACCAAGTTTAGGCTGGTCCTTTATCAAAAACAGGGCTCCATCTGACAATCAATAAATGATTTATATGACTCATAATGCAGTGTGTGATCCATTAGTTCACTGACATAAGAACATTAATTATCTTATAGATTGCATCAAACTTATCTTGGGGCTCAATATGAGACATCCTCACATCTAAGAATGCATGAGGAAGAGCTGTCACTGGATGGCATCAACTTTTTTTGGGTTCCGGAAACATCAGATATCATCGACAGAATTCCAATTTTTTGGTTACATGCAATATCTTTTTCTCCAGAAATCTAAGATTTAAGGTGTAAGTAATTAGATTCAGACCAAAAGTGCCTGTTTTTTTTGTTGTTTTTTTAAAGTTTCCACCATCATTACTGTTCATTGTAAAAGTCTGATATCTGGTCATTTTTATAATCTGGAACGCTTTCCCCAAATTATCAGTCATGGCGCTTTTTGGGCAGATTCTCGGCAAAGAATCTGGAAATTTCGTGTCCTCATTAAACCGGTGAGTCACTGGTGCTGTGAGGTACATCTGCATCCTGTCATTTTTAATGGATGAGTGGGAGCACTGCGCAGTAGGTACACATTCAGTATGTAATTAAAAATGTTTGCCCTCAGTTATGTCTGTCCATCACTTACCAAAGCAGATATTCAGAAAAATAAACCCAATTTTATTTCCAGAAAAACAGGTAGACAATATCATACATTAATACAAACAAGACCAAAACTACTTTTTTTTTTAAAGGAGGGGGAAAAGGGAAAAAGTAGTATATCCTGAAGTCAATATTAAAATTACTGTAATGGAAAAAAGAGAGCACCTGCAGTTCACAAGACACATTTTTCTGGTGGGAAACTGAGGGGTGTTAAATCCAAAACAGACAAAATCGGGAATGTTCTGTGGAAAACATAAAGGAAAAGCTCAAATGGAATCTCTCCTCATCCTTTTATTAAAGGTAAACTTAGCAAAATGACATTGTAGCTAATAAACTTTTAGGAAAATGCTCATTTTACAAGACAGATTCTTCCTTTTTTGACTACTAAGACGACATCTTTACCCCAAATAATGGATTTTTATCACAAAATTGTACCTTTAAACATCAAATCACTGAGTCTACCATTATTAATCCGTTGCTCAGTTTGTCCTCAGACCTCCATTTTAATGCTCTTGTGTAAATTTCCCTCTGTACTAAAAAAAACCAGTCCAAAGATCCACCTCCATTCTAACTCAACCTGATGATCTCGAAGGTGTTGGCCGGCTTCTCTTTCAGGGGATTTGGGAGACGTTCGCCCTGTCCGTCAACCGTCTCCCCAACCACCTCTTGTGCCTCATTTTCAGACCCCCCTTGAGCCCCCTGTCCCGTATCATTCCCCTCAGTTTGTTTATCCTTGGGACATTCCCCGTTGTAGGTCTTGACGTAGTCTTCAACTCGCCAGCCCCTGAACTCCTGCGGCTCCGAGCAGATGAGGCCAGTGTAAAAAACGCCGGGGTGGTGCTTGAGCCAGTAGATCAGGTAGTGGATGTTGTAGTCGCAGATCCAAGGGTTGTTCCCGAGTGAGAGCTTTCGCAGGAAGTAGAGGTCTTCCAGCACGCCGTACTGGAAGTAATGGAGGCTGTTGTTGGACAGATCAAGTTCACGGAGGTACAGCAGGCCTGCGAATGCAGCTGGAAAAGAAAAATAGAACTAATTAGTTGGCATCTCATACTGCTGTCTGAATACTAAAAGCTTTGTCCTCTGTTCTCCCGACGCCAAAACGCTCATGAGTCTTTTATTTTTTTTTGCTTGTCGGGTTTATTTTTATACATTTGTAGAGCCAAGAAATATTTTCATTATCAACAAAGAGTCAAATGACTGTAATGTGAAAAAGGGCTGGTTGTTCTAAAGACACCCGAGTGAATTAGTACTCAACCTCAGTTTTGATTAGCTCTTGAGAGATTTTTAGCCTCTTCTATCTACTTTTCAGGCTGTTTTTTTCATTTTATCATCACTCTTTCTGGCTAACGCTGCAGTTGTTTTTACAGAAAAGGTTTTACTGTTCACTATTTGTCCAGCAGCAAACAAAACACAGATGAAGTTAAGGACAAAGTAATAAAGATCATGAGGCATTTAGCGGCTGAAGTGGTGGTGGAGACCAAAATCAGAGCTAAAATTTGATTGGGTTTGGCTATTTCAATTGAATGCATTCCTCTTTATGTTTCATACATAAATAGACATTGTTAATATGCTTGCAAACAACATTGTAAAGTAATAAAACATGTACTGTGGGTTTATTTTGCCTCCAGGTGGCTAAAAATGACTTCATGCAAATGGCAATAATGTAATTGCAAGTACGATGGCTATACTTTTACAGAGCAACAAGCACCAAAAATGATAAAAAATATTAAGCGTGATACAGTTAAATGTACTTTTGCTGCATTTTTACAAAAACTCATGACTCCAGTATTCAAACACAACACGACTGTTGTCCAATGTCCACAATGTAAATCTTTCAGGAATGAGGAGAGATGCTTGTGGTAACAATGCATTTTGCGGTGGCTGACTCTGAAAGTGGTTTTATAAATTAAAAACATTCAAAGCATATGCTCTTTCAAACAAAATTCAAACATCATAGTCCTCAAAACTGTAGCTATAAATTATTTTCCAAAGGCAGCAGCGATGCAAGTGTTGTCTGAAGCACGTTAAAACGAGGCTTTCTCACAGATCGCAGTGCATTTCATTTAACAGGTGAACTCAGTGAATGCACAGCGACTTGGAATCGGTCCTTATGATCGTCGTGATCCAACTAAGTGGAGCTAAAAGGTGAGTGCTGACATCCTTTGAAAGGTTCCAGACATTGTCAGCAGTCTGCTTTTCTACTGTGTGCATGTGCTTTGAGTGGGAGTAATGGGACAGCGGAGACTGTTTCATGCTGTCCACTGTAGCCTTTGGCCCAGCTTTGATCTTTGCAGAGCGGAAGAGAGGAGGAGAAGGAGGAGGAAGAGCGTGTGGAACATATAGTAGTTACAGTGAGAACCAAAAATGTCACTGAAATTGGAGACATGAAAGAAAATGAGAAATGGATGTTAATGACAGAGATCCTTCCGTTGTCCGTTTTAATTACTGCACCAGATAACATCGTCGTTCAGCTCCAAGGAGGATGGAGGAAACTGTCATACAGTAAGGGGGAGTAACGGAGGGGTGAGGGACGCCCTTTGTTCACCTCCCACTTCGCTGTCTAATGTCTTGATTCATGAGACTTCGCTACTGTTCATTTTCTTTGAGGCACAATGAACACATCTGTCCCTGACGTGTTGCCAACAATAAAAAAAGGCAGGGAAATTCCAAGAAAATCCAATCTACTTCTTCACGAGTAACTGGTTCAACCCGTTCGGATCTCACCCATAACTCAGGCTGCCGGCATGTGTTTTGTTGTTGAATGAATGACAAAGTAAAAGTTTTCATTCGCAGCACCACAAAAGCAATCTAGGTTCTAGTTCCACATGTGCGGGCGCCCACATTGTTGCACATCCTAAAATATCAAGTTATTAGTCAGAGGAAATTACAGAAAATTAACCTTTAAATACGCCTCACTTTCCTGTGACTCTCTAAATTGTTGTTTTGTCTATTTTGGTGAGTTGCCTCGCCAAGAAAAACCTCAACAATCTGGCACGACAGCCGGCCAAAACCGACGCTGAAATAATATTACCAATAATGGTGCGTTTTTTTGAGTAATAATCTAAGCGTGCGAGAGCCTTGGAGTTGCATTTTTTACAATTTTTTTATTTTTTTTCGGTTCCCTCTCTGGTCATCCTTCACATGAAAAGCCATAAACAAACAGCCTCTTTCATTTTTCTCTGAACGTGATTAGAAGGAGGAGCGGGGATTGAGACCATATGTCACCGACTATCACAGCCTCTCAGAATTACCAAGAATTTTATTTTTCAGTTTCCAAATAGTTTTCGACGCGCTGGGGCGAGCTTGCAGTAGATTGTTTACATGTGTTGCGGGATAATGAATAAAAACTACCAGCTTTTTGCAACGGATTTCCCTCCCGGGCACGATGACATGAGCCCAGACATCATTAGCGTGATGAGAGTAATGAATATGCACTTTTTTTTCTCATTTTAATGGTGCTCCTCTGTTGCTGAGGCAGCATTAGTATTCAGAGTAGATACTCTGCTTCATTAAAATTGAACTCCACAACACTAAATGCTCTGGTTTTTTCATGAGGAGGCAGCTTAAAATTTTAGAAGCCTTGCTTTGATCTCTATTTATTGTTGAGAGTCAAATATTTGTTTTGTTAAATGTGCCCTATTTCATAAAGGTTCGACCTGGACTGTCAAGAATAGCTCTTACGGAGCTTGTAATGAAGCACAACACGCCAGCAAGGGTGAAAGATGAGGTAGTAAAAGGCACCTTTCTAATAAATCACCATCATCTGAGAGCGTTTTTTCCCCACATGTCAGCTGCACATGTTTCCTCCAGGTGCATGTGTATATATGCTGTATGCCTTGTTAGGTTTAAGATGCATACCTCTTATAGCAAAAATACTTCCCAATTCCTGTTGTGCATTCTGATTTTAATCCCCCAATTTAACCCACAGTTTGGTCCATCTGGAGATGTGGGAGGTCATATTTTCAGTTTGTCTGTTTGTCTGTCAGTAGGACTGTGCAAAAACTACCAAGTTGAATTTCTGAAATTAAAAAACATTCAATCTGGAACTAGAGATTCACCCAGTGTCTCTCACCTCTTGACCTTTCAAGAAACAAGAGTCTATATGGTATTCTTATTTATGCTGCAAGGAATAACATTATACTGCAGAGGATCAAAAAAAATGTACCAACAGTTGATGGCTGGCTGAGTGTGTTGATCGACTAAGTGCCACTGGAATATCTTTCATGTATTTCACATTCAGAAACGGATCCATTTTTTTAAGACTTGAAAACCAGATCTGCGTTATGTGGAGCATTGTGTCGGAATATTAACTATCATGCAGCAAGGTTTTCATTAACCGTTTGTGATATTTTTGTGTAAAAATCTGAGCTAAATTTAACCAAACGCCTGCTAGACAACCAGAGGCAGGTATCTTTGTGGCCATTTAATGTCACAATTTAGTATTTTAGGCCTTGTCCACATGTACACAAGTGCTTTTAAAAACAGGGTTTTTCCTCTTTACTTCTGTTCTCAAGAAAAAAAAACATTCATCAGCATTAACAGCTGAAGTGTTGTCAAGAGCATGCCTAAACAAGCAAAGATATCCCAGCTGGAGTATTCCAGTTCTTTAAATGTTTTTAGAATTCTCTGGAAAGTCATGTTTTCTTTGAGTTCCTAAAATGTTTGTAAAGGCAGGATAAAGTTCTCTCAAGACTCATTTAAAATTTTCTGGAATTCTTCTTGCTTGTGGACAAAAGGGTCAAACACCAAAAAAAAATACCCCAAAATGTTGAATAACAGCTGTGTACATGTGGAGAGAAGCTAAATATTCACTCTGCTTTAGTTTTCCTGTTTTCCTCCTTCTAACTATTCTATTGTTTCAAACTAGCTGTCCGGTTTTCCCGCCACTTTTTCCCGCCATTTTCCTAAACTACCAGCATTTCACTCGTTAGTTTACACCATTGATCCACTATTTATTGCCTGCCAGATTGTCTTTCTGCAGCTTTTCAGCTATTCATGGTCTTGTTCTATGCTTTTTGACCTTTTTGCCTGCTAACCTGTAACTCGATTTTTTGTTTAATCCCCTTTTCCGTGCATTTGTACTTGTTTCTCTGCATCATGCTCTTGGGTCTACTGTCTGAGCTGTGATATTTTTGTGTATTTGCGTGACCAGATGCTCAGGTGTGTATGGAAGACGGGACCATTGTGTTACCTGTATCAATATGATGCAGGCTGTTGCCGCTAAGGTTGAGCAGCTTGAGGTCTTTGGACAGCAGGAACTGTTTGGGCCTGAGGTGGTTGATGCTGTTACTGGACAGATCCATCTTCACTATGTCAGAAGGCAGGTCGGACGGTATGTGATTCAAATCTGTGGAGGGAAAAAGAAAAGTAGGGAGAGGTTTTAAACTCTGACAGAAGAGAAAATGTATAGTTTTTAAGGCACAACAATTTAAACAAGATAGAAAACAAGCATTAACATAAGGATTAAAGATTCATGTAAACCTGTTGGTAGGTTTACAAGTTTGTGAAATGTGAACAGAAACAAAAAATCTGCAGAAGAGCTGGAAATTCAAGTCTGTTTGCATCTTTATGTTTTCAAGATGTTTTGTGGGTTTTATGCAACATTTCACATTTTCAAGAAGGAGTCAAGGTCGACAGCATGTATAACAATATTTCACTTATTTGCCAAATGGGAGGTTCTGTTTTTTTCCACTTTCTTACGGCGTTTCCAGCCTCACACACACACACACTTTGAAAACTTTAATGTACGAAACAGTGACACAGTCCTACATATCTGATCTGTATACCAGAGCCTCTCAGGAGTTTTAAATCAGTGTCCCACGCTGAGACACATTTTATAAATGTTATACCATCCGAGCAGTGTCAGGGCAGGTAAAATCCAGATCTGACACAGTCATTGTGACGCTACAATGAACACGTTTCGGTTCATGTTAAGATTCTGATTGCACAAGTTGTACTTTTGGGGACTGATGTTGTGGTTCCTCCTTGTCATTAGACTCGTTTCACCTTCAATTTGTGCAAATGCAAGAAGATTTTTCAAACTAGAGGTCACGTTGCTCTTATGAATCACGGTGTTTGCTCTGTTTAAAACCGAGTAGGTGGCCGACAAAAACCTGCATCATCAAAATCAACATGAGCGATTGTTTTTGCAGCAGTCAGCAAAATGGTTGCAGATGAGAGGAAACACAAGTGTGTTTTGGCCCTAAGTACCGACTAAGACATAATTAAACGATGTTTATTTTGAGGTGAAATGAGTGTTTTTTTGTACATTTGAAAAAAGAAAAGTTTGTGTGAGGAAGAGCATTCATACTAATTTCCTGCATGTATTTATTTACACCGAGCGCATAATTTGCTCGGAAGAATGCTTAGGGACACTTTTATGATGCAGATGTTGCAGTCTTTATGCACACTTTACTGCCACAGATGTTGTATCGTGAAGGCATGGTGCCATAAATCATCAGCGACTCTTAGAAAACATAATTGCACACACACACAGATGCAGCCAGTACGTTCAGGAAATGTCACGATTATCGCTCTGTGATGTCGGATGAACGCTGCGGCAGACGGTTACAAAGGCCGGAACAGACTCTGGAGACTTTTCAGTTCCATGTTTCAAGTTATCAGTCCACCAACAGTGGGAACTTTTCTTCACAAAATGCCCAGGGGGGGAATCCCGGGCCGGCCTGAGGTGTACATGTGTCTGCAGCCGTGTCCAAGCAGATTTACAGATTAGGGGGAAAAAAAAAGGCTGGAAAAACACTATCATGCTAACATCAGACTCTGCTTCCCAGGCTCCCTTCTGAGAAATCAGACTTGTGCTTTTCGAGCCAAAAAAAATCCTGTCGGTCCAAAGAGAGGTTCATTTGCGGTCTTCTGTGTTTTACAGTGAATGGGGATAAGCTGCACTGTGTATCCAGCGGTGACAGTAGTTTAAGCCTGGATAAGTATCTCTGATCAGATATTGTTCTCTGGGTAAGAAAAAGAGGCCCATTATGTTGCTTATAGTCTCGACTCGCAGTGTTTGCTATTTCAGCGCTGCTTCCTGGAGCGAAATGCGTTTTCCGGAAGTCCGATGTTTAATCTTGTGATTACAAATGGAGCACGTATTTAAGATAAAGCTGATTCGTAGTTTAACATCTGTTGGCATGGGGTAGGATGCCGAATAGGACCGCCGAATGAACAAACACGCGGGGAGAAAGAGAGAGAACATGTCAGGAAAGTCATTCATTCTGAACTGAGTTTGGACTCAGCTTTTTGCTGAATCTGCTGGAGTCATTATTCCGGCGAACATCTGTTCCTCTTGGACTTTTCTGTCAAGAAAAAAAAAAAGCACTTTTTGCTTTATTACCACCTGAGAATCTCATCCTTTGTGCAAATCCGAGTGTTTCATCCTATAAAAACTCATAAATTTAGTTTGTTTGTTACATTTCTCGTTGATTTCGTTATTTATTATCTGCGGTTAAATTATATCGCCTGCTTTTTGTCAAAGTGCCAAGTTTGACTTTCTTTTTTTAGTCGCCCAAAACAAGGAGGTTCCACTGCTGGCGTGAGTTAAACACATGGAGTATACATCGCAGTTAGTGCACAGCAGTATTTACATAGTTTGAATGCATGGGGCTGCGCTTTTTCCATGATCTATTTGGAGGGCTGAACATTAATCTGCTCATTTATCTATATATCCCACTCCAGAGTGTATGGGTTAGCACTGCTGATGATTTACATGCGGAGTTCAGTAAAAGTCTGCAGCTTAAGTCTCTTGCCTCATTTTCTTCCCCTTTATATTCCATAAAATATCTTGAAGCCGCGCCATCATTGTCACTTTATCAAAGTGTGAAATATGCCACTACTTCAGTAGCTGTATATTTAATTCGTGCAGTAATTCTGAATCCATATGGGGCAATATGTTTAGACAGCAGAAACGGAAGCAGTGAGGTTTTTTTTTACGGCGCTGACATGAGAACTGTGGGGTCACTGTGCATTTATGGCAGTGAGTGAATTTTTTTCCCCCCGTTTGGAATCTCGCCCTAAATTAGACACGGAGGAAGATTGATTCACATGTTTTCTTCACAGTTTTTGGCCATATATGTGCAGCAGACGAGTTCGTATTGTTGCATGTTTTATGGGACGTTGCTTGCACTTTAGCTGTGAAACTGTATATAATGCAAATTATGAACCAAAACGAGAGGTTTAATGACATCAGAGGGAGTAAAATTTAAGATAAGAGTTTGTGAGTTTAGAAAAGAGGTGACACTATTCTGTCATTACCCAGGTTGAAGCAACAAACTGAGCCAAGGTTGGGATTATTTTTTATTTTTGTGTAATAGGCAACATGCAGTCATCTATCATCAACCCCTATAAGCTCCATATGTTCCACTTGTGGATTTCTCATGCGAGGTATGTTTAGGCGTTACATAATATACTCTCTCTCGCCATCATCATTCAAGCAAAAGAGGCAGGGGTGAAGCTTCTTCTAAACATCCTGACATCTCTGTTTATAGATTATCATGCTATATTTATTACAAGAACCAGAAAAGTGCAGGTTCTCTCCTGCGATGATAGTAGCGTGGATTCGAGTCAAGCTGAATCGCTTTCAGGGATTTGGTTTCCGTTGCACTCCTGCAGAAACTGATGCTTGATACTGTCCTCGCTTTCATTCATGCTCTCGACCTCCCGTGTCCTGCTCGGATGTCATTCTGGAAGATTCCTCTTTTCTGCTGACGGCCTTTGCGCACTTGTACGCGATCCAATCGGGGCATGATGTAACACCACGCGTGTGGGAGTCCACCGGCCACATATACATGACTCACATCTCGCCTGCCCACTCCAATGGCCCGATGTTTTTATGCAGGATTTATGTTACCTCTGAGATCTGCAGTGTGATTTATTGACCTTCTGAGCGCAGTCTGGAAGGCAACGTCTAGGAACTAGGACAAAACAATCAACACCCGGGAGATGGGGTTTCTGAGCAACATCGGGAGCTTTGTGGAAAAAAAACTAATGACTGAAAGATGGTTTTTGCTCTAATGTAACACATCTGGCATATTCGTGGTGACTTGGAATATCCAGAATTGTGGGGGGGGGGACTTTTTTGGGGGAATTTTATATAATCTAATGTTCCTCTGTGGAGGGTTTGAGATGTACATATGCCCTTCTGGAGCTGACTTTGCATGAGCTGATGAGCCTGTGATGTGTTTAAAACGTGGCATGTAGTCGAAACATCACATACAAATTCACCTCTAAAGTCACTGCACTTTTAAATGCTGAAAATATAACATTACATTGCGGCAAGGAGGTTTGTTTTCCTCAAAAATGGAAAACAATGCCTTGACATTATGCGGCAAATCCGACTGCGGTTTTCTTATTTGAGGACAAAATTCAGGACACATACAAAAAGACGTCAGAGAAAAGAAACCTGACGGCAAACTTTAACATTGTTCGAGAGTCACTCCGAGTCTAAAGTCCCATCTTCGAGAAACTCCAACCACAGCATTTCTCTCCAGTGAGAACCATGTGGAGACTGAAATCTGCTGTGGTTCACCTCAGAGAAGAAGGGAGTCATGGAGACTCGAGAGGGAAAACAGCGAGAGAGGGAGAGAGAGAAAGCGATAGACAAGAGGGGGAAAAAAATAAGAGTTTCAAGACAGAAGGATTAGAGTAGGTTTCCACTCTGCTCTGGGTTTTGTATTTCTCACTCCCTACTTGCTCACATCTAACAAAAAAAATTGGTCCAACACTCGTGTTCAGCCTCCACACAACCTTGTTTCACTTAACTTTAACATCAGTTTCACTGCTCTGGCATTCTGTCCAACTAAATTGTATGACATGTTCCTGGGCAAGACTGGATTACAGAGCAGGGAATGTGCACCTCAGACCAAGTGGCTGCTTGAAATCCTAAAATTCTGTGCACATCCATTGGTTCTGGTCATTTATAAAAAAAAAAGATGCATCGCTTTCCACACAGACTATCTTAAATACTTAAAATCCTGTAACACATGCGTTCATATTTTGCTTGATTGTTTGTTTTTTTTTCTCCATTGTCTTTGTTGGAGCATTATTGTGGGGTATTTTCATTCAGAAAACTGTGAAACTAACTTCCCAGTACGAATCCATCGACCACAAATAAAACAGGCGTCCAATCAAACACCAATGCTCCATAGAAGGACCATAGACTGTATAAAAGATGGACGTAGCAACCAGCCCTGAAAAATGAAGCCAACCCGGAAGTGTCAAAAACCTGCAATATCACTACGTCTGCTAGTTCTGGCTCCAAAAAGCCCTGGCTCCCATAGAAATGAATTGAAAAGAAGTGGTCACAGAGCATGAAATACTGCATTCCTACAGCTCAGGATTTTTTTTAAATTAGTTTTCATGGTCAAGTCCAGAGATCAGGTGGCCAATCTGAAAATAAATCAATACTGAATTATTTAAAAATCGTCAAAATTTTGCAAGGGGCGTGGCTGGCTTGATTGACAGTCGGCAGCGACCGTACAGATGAAGCGAGCAGAAGGCGGTAAATGTGGGCGGGCAGAGAGGGCCCGCCTCTCAATCCGTCTGACCAATCGCTGCTCCTATGGCTCCGCCCCCCTCCGACGATTTTTGTGTCACTGGCTCCAAAAATCCAAGATGTCAACCAGGAAGTAGCAAAACCCTGGCTTCATTTTGTCAGTGCAGAAACCAACAGGTGACATCACGGTAGCTACGTCCATCTTTTATACAGTCTATGAGAAGGACAAGTGGTAAACATCTCCACAGTTTATCCCTTAAGTACAATGTCAACTCTACCAGACCATGGAATAGTTTTATTATTTTAGCTGATACCCAAAAAAATGCATATTTTAAACACAAATTGAAGCTTTCTGGCATCTAGTATAGGAGCATTGTGGAACAGTGTTTTCAGAAGCAGGTTCCTGTTTGTTTGTATTATGCATGTGCATAAAAAGCAAGAGTCCGCAGGCAAAGCAATCCACATCCTCGCTGATGCTTCCATGTTATTTCAGTTATTAGCAGTCTGCAACAAAAGCAACTAAGAGGAAGATGAATGGAAGCTGGTAAATGTGGATTTAAACAACGGATTTGCAGACGTTTTATGAGGAAGGAAATGCATTCGAAATTTGTTAGTCAACGTAAACATCGCTTTTGTTTGTTTATGAGGAAATTTATGAGGTAGCGCGGGAGCTCCGGTTGCACTGGGAACATATTGTATAAATGGTATAGAGGGCAGTAGGTGGAGCAGAACGGGGCCTAAAAGCAGACGTTTTGACTGTGGTTTCATTGCAATGTTCCTGTGGGTTGGAGAGGATTTGTATTATGGAACATTGAGAAAGCAGTGATGCCCTGATTTTTCTACAAAAAAAAAGCCACTCTTCGCTTGACGTAAACTCATGCAAGTTCCATATAATGTGAGCAAGACAAAGATGAACTAAATGCGATTAAAAGACTATAAATTTCTATATCGTACTTTATTACATAACCCAAAGTTTCCATGGCTATTTCATATCTCTGCACATCTGTGAGCATTTATACTGACAAGAAGACAAAAAGGGGGAGCAGGAAACGTCTCGGCGTAACAATATAATCTACCTGTGATTAGATCTCACACAAGCGTAGCAATTTATCAAAACACCGACGCGGGAATCTGGTGCACGAGATGAAAACACTCCAATCATCCGCTAACATCTAACAGAACATCAGCATGGGTGTCCTTCCAAATCAAAAGAGCAGAAACCATGTCTTGAATATCATGCACAACAGCTGTAGTGTATTAAGGAACATTCACACATCACATATAGCTTTTATGGTGTGGCCTGGTTTAGAAAAAGGCAGGATGGAGAGAGTTATTACTGGGCATAAAAAATACAAAAAAAGGGAAAGATGTGGACAGATGGATGGGATAATCAGCCTGTGAGAGAAACAGAGGAACCTTCTAGTGCTTCAGATAAAGAATTGATTCAAAAGTCTCACTGTAGAGAAAAAAAATAATTAGGAAAATATGCAAAAGGCTTCCTCGAGCATTTACACAACACAGACGCTGCATTGTGTGGTATTGGCTTGTCTGTAAAAGAGGGCATAAGCTCTCCATTTATGCTCGTATTCAATTCCAGTGTGGGAGCTCGCTTGGACACGGACAATACTTCAGTTCAGCGTGCGGCACAGTGTGTTGCCTTCAATGGACGCGGAGGAGACAACAAAAGACAGAGGGTGTCAGAGCAATTGAGTATAAAGAGCCCACTTAAAAGTAACCAAGAGAGATCCATCTTCACAAAACTCAAGAATTGTCATCTGCGCCTCTTTGAAAAGCAACACTGGAGCAGTTAAGGCCACTTATGATAGCAGTCTCATAGAACCAGATGTGAAAACATGTGGGGTAGAAAGAGAGTTGGAGGAGCTTTCCCCTCCTCTCATTCTTTTATTCGGATTTTCCTGGAGTTTTCTTTTTATATGCAGCTTTCTACCGATGCTGAGTCGTTGTTATAAAATTGAAACCACAAACACATAAAGATGCATCTTATTACTGCCTTCTGAAATCTCTTGAGCAACAGAAATCTGCAGAAAATTAATTTGCATCGGGATTGTAACTGCAACCCAAGAGAGATGGTGCTGTATTTTCAAAGTATTGCTGCAATAAATTACAACGCAAACACACCAAAATGCAGATCATCAAAATACCTTACGGAACGAAGCGCTTCAAGGGGTTTTCAACAGGAAGTCTGACATATGTGAAATGACTAAAGTTGCCCTTAAAATACGAATCTGTGCATGTTTGAAAGCCCAAATCGTTCCATTAAAAGCTGCTAAAAGCGTGCCAGAGCACTGACAGAGTCTGCCCCTTTCCTGAGGCTCAGACACCCAAACTTAATAAAAACAAACACATCTCTGCCAGCCGCCTTGTTGTAGCCAAAACATCAGACTGCAAAATGAACTCTCGCGTCCATTTTCATTAGACAAGCAAGCATGGCTCTACACTGTAGAGTGCTGAGCAAACCTCAGAAATGTACCTTTTATATAAGGTGCCGCTTGTTTGTGTTCCACATCAAACAAGTAGTCAAGCATCAGCTAACCACCTACCATCGGTTGATTTTTGCCTACATTTGGCTGCAAACTTACAGTTCCTGACGCAGAGAAAAGTAAAAGATACTTTGTGCAAGTTTGTTTCATGCGTACTCTTTTTCTGTGGACACAGCAGGTGTCAGATGTTTCTCCAGGAAAGGCAAACAGCTAAGGATTCAACTCATTGGTGCATGTGTGATTGATGTTTGTTCTCATTTATGTTTTCCCAATATGCTGATTACAGTTCATGTCTGTGGGCTAGGTGGGCTGCACTTATTCTAGCTTTGTGTGTTTCCTTAATTTTTGTTATATCTCCAAGCAATCAGAGGCAAAGCTTGGATGTGATTTATGTGTCTTGTCCAAATGGTGTTGCTGCAGCTTCCACAACCATCATGCGACTGTCGTTGGCCCAAACATCGCAAACACTGTGAAATTACTGTTTAGTGTGATCATTTTGACTAATTCGGTACAGGTTTATTTGTTAGGTACCTTGAATGTCAGCACAGAATTTCACAGCAATCCGTCTAACAGTTGGTGAGATAGTTTCAGTCTGGACAGACGAGCATCTCCCGCTCAATGATGGTCAGCAGGCTAAAAGGTGTCTTCGCTGTATCACATGTCAGACAGGTTGAGTGTTATCATCCATCCAAAAGGTTCAAATAGACTCCTTCAAACTGTCTAACTTGTCAGACCTTCATCAGTCAAAATGGTCTGACATCAAAAAGTTGGACTAATACATGGATCTTTGCAAGTTAGACAGTGTGTGGGACTCTGTTTGAACCTTTTAGATACACTCCATCTTCTCCTATGCACCTGCCTCATGAAACAGACGTGCGAAGAGTTCCATTGAGTTATCATCCATCCACCCATTTTCTTCCACTTATCCAGGTTCAGGTTGTGGTGGCAGCAGACTGAGTAGAGCATTCCAGATATCCTCCTCAGCAATTTTCAGCTCCTCCTTAGGGATCCCAAGGTGTTCCCAGGCCAGATGAGATATGTAATCCCTCCAGTGAGCGCTTAATCTACCCTAGGGTCTCCTCCAAAGTATATGTACCCAGATATCCTCCAAAGGAAGGCACCCAGGAGGCACTCTGATCAAATGCCCAGACCACCGCAACTGGCTAAGGTCCTTTCAAATGTCAGATTACTTTCTTTGTGTAACAACTCATGACGATAGGCGAAGGTTGGAACATAGACCAACTGGTAAATTGAATGCTTTTCCATCTGCCTACCTTTCTCTTAACCACAACCGTCCAGTACAATGCCCCTAATTAATGGACCTGTCCATCTCATGCTCTATTTTTCCATCATTTATTAACAAGATCCTGCGATACTTAAACTTGTTTTGCTTGGAGCAGCAACTCAACCCCAACCCAGAGGGAAAATCCACCAATTTTACAAAACTGAATGACTGTTGACTGCATTTTAATTGAAAATCACACAAGATAGTAAGTCACAGAGATGCAGAGCTTGACATTCTCTCACCTTTGCTGCTGCAGTCCAACAGAGGTTTGGGAAACATATAGGTGTGACACATGGACGTCGCCTCTGGCTTCACCTTTATTGGTGGCGGCTTCGGTCGCGGTCCTTGTCCACTGTCTGGCTTCTTGTCTGCCGCACACAACGAGTCCACATCTAGCTTTCTCAGCTTCTGGCCCTTCAATGATAGAGGCTCTGCGCACTTGCCGTAGTTGCCCAGATTGCGGTTGCTTGGCACCTGCAGGGTCCTGACCAGGCTGTCCAATGAGCAGTGGCAGCTCCAGGGGTTGTCATAGAGACGGAGGTAGGTAAGGCGGGGCAGCGGGAGCAGGACCTCCTCGGAGGCTGTTTTCAGTTGGTTGTGCTGGAGGAGCAGGGTGGTGAGCTGGGAGAGGCCAGTGAATGCACCGTCTTCCACCATGGAGATGTCGTTCTGTTGGAGATCCAAGCTCTTCAGTTGGGTGAACTGGGAGAACATGTTGTCCCGCAAGACCTGAAGGGGGAGAAGTGAAGATGTTTTTTGAGGATGTTGTGCCATTTACTGGCTGCTGATTTTTGTGTATCCAAACTGTGAAATTTAATATGAATTACACAGAAATTATTTGGTCATTGAACTATATAATTTATCATGCACCAAGGATTTTCACCCCAGGGGTTTAGGCATGCCTTTATTGCTACTCTAAGGAAACACTGCAGTGCAATCAGCTTTGTAGCTGGGAGGCAAAACTTGCTTTCAGTAAAACAAATGTTTTGTCTTCTTGAACATATTTTTCCCACTTTCTCTTGTGAAACCATGGTCAGATAATGTCTGAATTCAGGTTTATCTCAGGTCATGAGTTAAACTCCTAAATGCTTACCTCTTTGCAAGTTTTCTTTCCTTATGAAAATAATCCCTTCCTACCTAAAAAATTAATTTGATGTAACTCCACACTGTTGCTTCCTGCAGGAAACGCAGACATATGAAGTCCCCACCTCTAATACCATTGACCTGTTCCCACTTTCTGCAGCTCAAGCACACCAGCTCACCTACAACCTTGTTCAAGCACCGTAAAGCTACTCTAGGAAAGACAATGGGCAGTATTAATATTGGAGTCATTCAGACATCAAACCAGAAACAGATTCTGAAAAAGAATAATTATAGACTGTCATTGTAACGCAGCAGTTTTTGGGTGGAAATGCTAAACCATGACGTTAACTGCTAATTTTGCTTTGATGTGTCTCCTAGCATATAAAAACCACCACATGGACATGTTAACAAGATTAAAAGGCTTGATAATGGCTAGCGATGGACCAATCGGGTAACAATAGGAAGTGGATGATTTGCCGTAAAAGCTCACAGGTTTTTAGAAGACTTACATAACACATTACAAAACAGTGTCAGACTATTTTAAAGCTTTTATAGTCAATAGTTACACATGGAGTAACATCAACATTAGCCTGGAACTTGAATAATTCAGGTTGTCTCTACTTTTGGCTCTTAGTGGTAACGTTTTCATCCTTCTTGGGCAGATGTTACGCTCTGAACTATGTTTACCAGCTGGCATCCTTGTCCACCGTTGGTGCTGTTAAGGAAAATACAATGGATTTTTTGGGGTTTTTTTTAGCTGGAACTACCACCCAGGAGCTTGATAGATCAAATGTAATTTACAAAGCAGGGGGATATTTCTCTATGCATAACCACAACTTCAATCTTTCCCATTATTTTTAATATCAAAGCACAGCGTAATAGATTTAATGCAGCTATAACTCCAGGCTTTAAACCTCTGATTATACCTTTAATTAGTACATTTTAAAAGTTACATAAAGTGCAAAATCCAACAGAGCCAAAGTTACACCTAAAAATAACAGAAAATCCACTCGCTAATTATCCCTATTTTTCGCTGCTTTGATCAGTGTCTATAACTCATTAGTCTTTATTTATTACCTCGTTGGCAATGCATTTTGTTTTGGTTCTCTCAACACCTGCGACACACACATCCTGTGCACTCCCTCAGACATGCAACAACCCACTTATGCACACACACACACATAGCAGGAAAGTCTGTCTTTGATCTTGGCCCCAAATGAATGGTGCACAGATGCGCATGGTGTCAACATCTAGATGGGTTTACATTCAGCGCAAGTGGTTGGAGACATTTAACTGAGAGAAATTTGATGCATTTGTTGCACAAAATTCTACCAAACACCTTTTATTACCTGTAAATTCTACTCAGTTGTGTCTTTCATTTGAATTTGAGCAGGTATGTGCAGGAACTTCTGCACCATTCATGTGGAAATCTGGTTGTAAATACCTGAATCTTGTTTCTTGCCAGCAGTAGATGGTGGATGTCTGTGGGCCAGTCCTGCATCACAGTGGTCAGCTGCCTGTCCTGGCAGTCCAGGTATTTCTCTCCTGCCTCCATGTACTCCTTACACTCCTGAGTTTGGCGTCTCGAGACCCCGGCCCTGCCGCGGCCCCGGATGCGTCCTCCCGAGGCTTTGTCCGAGGCCTTCGATCGAGGGCGTCTCCGGGGCTCAGCCGACGGGAGGAGCAGCAGGAGGATGACGGCGGCGAGGAGACGCATGACTACGGGTGGAGGTTGGATCTCTTAGTGACCAAATCAACTTTGGAAGACTGTTGTCGGTTCGATTTGTGTTGGAGGGGGACACAGGAGGCCGGTCACAGCTGTGTACGAAGAGAGAAAAGAGCAAAAAAATAAGTTTTTCATTGGGTAGTTCATGCAAAATCACACTTAAGCTTGCAATTTAGCCATTTAAGTGATGCTTGAATTGTTGATGGTGGTTTATTTAATGCTTTGTAGGACATTTGGACAACTAAGCTTTATTTGATTCAATTGTGCTTTTAGAGGCTCATTATTTGCACCATATTTGACAAGCAACAATCCCTCTGTTTGCAGCGGGATATAACAAACCATGCACAACTATGTGTAATCCCAAAATATAACACACAAGCATACCAGTTTATGTGTAATAGAAAGATATAGGGTAAACATAGAAGTATTTTGCCCAAATAAAAATCAAGAGACAAGAAATTCAAGACATTGTGCTGGAGAGAAAAGTTTTGAATTGAAGAAAGTAAAAGCTCACAGGTGAATCTGACTTGTTATATCAACATATGCGGTGAAATGTGCAGGGATTTGTCCTGATGGCATGTTGACAGACGCTGACAAGTGAAATAGTTAACGCCGCACATGTTGAATGAATTAGTGGAGAAGCAGAGTGAGAAGCAACGGGGAGAGAAAACAGGAAAAGGGGGTTTGGAGGAAAAGAAAGGCATTTGCTAGATATTAACATATTAAAGGTTAAACTATGGTCATGCTGTCTCTGTTTTTGGACGTGTTTTTTTAAACATACTTGGCCTTCTCATATTGAGGATTTATTCTGAAATAGCCATACAGTGTTTCTCTGTTGGGTAGTGTTTGGTTAGTTTCGTTTATTTCAGAAATTGTGTCGGAAATATTCAACTCTAACGGAAAAGATGTTGCAAATATGAGCATTTGACAAACAAAGTGCTCCACAGCAACATCACAAACAATCGGGACAACAAAATGCAAGTGACACACACCTAATATCGCCCAGATTTGTTTAACACGGAGGTATGAAGGATCTCGGTGGCATGGTACCTCCGTCCTGATGGTTTGAATTCACCAAAGACAGGATGTGATGCATAACCGAGGATTGCCGGCCTTTTCCTCACCACCTTGGACCCATAAAGTCGTATCATCCTGTGCTGTTGTTGACCCACAATCCAACATAAAACAGTCAAAATTAACAATCTAAGCATAAAGTTAAAATATCCTCTACAAACGAGCGAATAAAAAGATCCAGAGTACGTCTGTCGACTCCACTGTCGAAGCATTAATCATTGCAATCGTTCCCCGTGAGTGGCTTTTGAGCTTAATTCTCATCAGTTGCTGTCCTTAGATATTTATACTCAGCTCACACTTCAACGCAGCCTCTGTTAATAGCTTCTTGTTGATGTTTCTTCCCTCTCGCTCTGAAATCAAAGCCCATTTCCTTGGTTTTTCTTGGTATTTATAACTTCGGAAAACTAGCCAGTTAATAAATTTGTTGCTGTCACATTAGCTTTTGTATATCTTGTGTGCATCCCTTGCAACAAACACATCTGAAGTTCATGATGCATGGCACAAATAAAACGTCTGCAACAACGCCAACAATGACTTTTGTGAGTGTCATCTGATCTGCCACCAATACAGTTTAGGCAGCTAAAGAAAAACACGCTTCTTTCGAAAAATTGGCCTTCATGGTTAAATAGTTTGACAGCACATTAGAAGTTTCATCACCGGGAACTTGCCAGGAAACTAGTGGAGATTATCCAACAAACAGTCCTGCACATAACCACAAGTTGTTGTTTTTTCACTTTGGTTTTTGTGTGGATTAAAACAAACAAGATGTAATGTGTTAATTACTGAATCTTGGAGATGCTGGTTAGTGGATTTGGTTCCATTTGGACAGAGCCAGGCGGACTGTAGCTTCACATTACTTCACTCCACCAGAAAGCATAGTTTTCATCATATTTCCCCAAATTTGAAGCTATTGCTTTCAAACCACTATCTGACACTGATTTACTGCCTCTGTCTTCTTTTTTTCACTGCTTCTTCCAGCCTCGCTATTTCTTCCTGCCAAACTGTGAAACTATCATCAGCCACAAGTATGAAAATTCCATGACTGGAAATATTAGCAATTATTGCTGTAAAAAAAAAAAAAAAGACGGTAATTGTCTTTTTCTGCCACACAGCTGCTTGTTCTAAACTCTCCGCCTGCTGACGATGTGAATATGTGGGGGTGTGCTGGTCATATGGCAAAATAGGTGAGTCATGGATCCCGAATGTGATCAGAGGAGAAATGGCAAGACCCACGGGTTTGCCAAGAAACATCGCACACACACACACACACACACACACACACACACAACAGAGACACACGTGTACGCTGACTCAGTCCAACTGTACCAAACCGCAGCCCTCGTACCGTCTTCCAGTCTCACACAGTGGAACAAGCCTGTCAATGCAGATGGTGTCGTTCCATTGTGAATAACAGACTGGGCATGTTCGCTAACTACAGACAGAAGCAGCTGAGAATGTATCTGGCGATGCACTTTCCAGCGCACTGGGCTGTCTTCAAACTGTCCAGCTATCAATCACCGACAAATGAGGCAAACATGAAAGCTGGCTTTCTTCGACTGGAGCCATCGTGCAGTAATACACCTCTAGTGAGTTACTTTCTCCAACAGGAACTCGGTGAATCGGTCTTTTCAGCTTCTTCCTCTGTCCTCATTTCTGCTGTGCCTGCATCAGCTGCAGAGTCCGTGTTCTGGTGTCTGTGCAGCATGAGTATGAAGCCGATGAGAGACACGTTTCAACACAAGGCGAGACTCGAGCCAGAACAAACTCCCAGACTAGACTAAGGTGGAAAACATGGAGAGAGTTCTTGAGTGGACCCAGACACATCCTCTCTCTACAACTGTATAAGTGTTATAACCGCTTTCAGGTTAAGTCATTAGGTTACAACAGTAAAGAAAAGCGTCCATGGTTGGTATCAATCACCTCATCCGTCTCTTCTCACTGCAGCCTGGTAGTAAGACGAGGCTTATTTTGTGAGCGTTTGTTTTGAAAATTCCCTAATTTAGGAACTGATTTCACATGATTTTATTTGTGGTTACTGATCAGAATTATATATATAATATATGCATGTATACATTTAAATTTACACCCTGTAAATAAAGGGATACACCATACAGTGAACTGAGGTTTGTACTGTGAAGCAAGTTCTTGAAATTAACTGGTTTGACAAAACCCAAGGTTTTAGGATTTTATGTTTTGGGAAGGGCTGCAAGGTGGCACAGTTGGTAGCACAGTTGTCTCGCAGCAAGACGGTTGCCGGTTTGCATCCCGGTGGGGGCAATCTTTCTGTGTGGAGTTTGCATGTTCTCCCCGTGCAGCGTGGGTTCTCTCCGGGTTCTCCGGCTTCCTCCCACACAGTCCAAAAACATGTTGAGGTTAATTGGTGATTCTAAATTGTCCGTAGGTGTGAATGTGAGTGTGCTTGGTTGTCTGTCTCTAAGTGTAGCCCTGTGATAGACTGGTGACCTGTCCAGGGTGTCCCCTGCCTTCACCCCAAGTCAACTGGGATAGACTCCAGCCCCCCACAACCCTAGTGAGGATTAAGCGGTGTATAGATAATGGGTGGATGGATGTTTTGGTTATCATGACAGTGGTTATCAACTTTCTTAGTTAAACCAGGCTTTCTTAACCAGGCCCTGTGCATATTCCCATAAAAGGGGGCATGTGACTTGTCATGTGACTTTTTCTGCACAAAATGGACCAATCACATGCCCGCTGTCAAGAGGAACAGGTTGTTGTAATGGAGAGCTATGAAGAATATGAAGATGTATTGTGCTAAAATGCTGCAAATAAGGAAAGAGAGGAATGCAGGTAGAAAATTGTTACTCGTGTAAAGTGATAGATTTATTTTACCAGTCCGTGAATCTCAATGCAGCTGCTTATTGTAACATGACAGCTGCAAATTAAAGCCGTCAAAGTTCATACATTTAAATTTGATGCTGAAAAAGTGCATTTAGATCTGATGCTGTCCTATATGAAGGTAATCACATTAGTTTATGGTCAAATCAAAGTGAAATTCATGTTACTGACTGAGTGTTTTCTGTGATAAATGAAAAATAGACACATTTTCTAATCTGTGTTCTGTCATCTTGATTACCAGCAGTATAAAGTGGGACTCACAGTAAACCAGGACCTAGCATAAAAACAGATGTGGGCATTTTCTTCATCACCAACTGCACGACTTTGTTTGGTGGTGTTACGAATCTATTTATATCAGGTTTGCACATACAATGTTTGTCTTTATCTGAGAATCTATAATGGCTCATATTTGGCATGGAAATGATTCAGTCAAAGTGTGGCACTTGTTGCAGCTGATTTGAATCACAACTCTGAAAATAGCTGTGCAGCATTAGTTACCATGGTGATAGGGCAGGTTAAAACTCTGACTTTAGGCTACACATACCTCGCTGACCCATTAATCCTGTTTGTAGTTTGTAGCTCCCTGATCTTTGTAGTTTTTGGTACAGACATTGACAGACATACACATTTCCAGGGTCAAGTATTGACCCTGGAGTAAAAGTTAATGCTAACACAGCCCAGTCATAGTGTTGTTGTAGCTCATTCTCAGGTTCTGTGTCGTTCAAAATGTGTTGGAAATAGCATAAAAAGTTTGAAACAGGATGATTAAACCATTCACTTTCTCTACAAACAAGGATTTTATACACATCTATGTTTTTTCTCTACTTCCTCTATAATCAATGAACCAAATCCTTTGGGCCACTGCTGGGACTGCTCAGATCTTTTCCACATCTGTTCAGCAGGAAGAGTCCAGCCCTTCTTAGAAAACCAATGCCAGGGTCACCCCTCCAATATCCAACGCACATTCCGGCAGTGACCAGAACAAAACCCACTCAGGCCAAACCCATCCCGGCGGTTCACCTCACGGCCATGTTGTCCCAAATTAGCCCTCTCAGTCTGGTATTATTTCCCACCCCAGCTCCCAGTGGTCAGCCTATGCCAAAGGAAAAATGTCTCTCTCTGTTTAAAAACATGGAGCAGAAATCTCTTAGGGCTT